ATCCACAGCTGTTACCCCTCAGTCAGCAAAGTAGCTGCCGAGGCATGTCACCCTTTGCTTTTAACTCCTGAATCAGTCTCTCCATTTCGTAGCTCATCTGGAGGAGCAAGAGACCTGATTTCTTGGCATGGCAGAGCATTACCAACAGGGTGTCCTAAGCCTTGTGCTCCAGGCTCTTTCTTCCTCTTGAGTGTATAGTTTTAAGCGTTGCATTTTAGACACCTCATTTGCTTTGCTGCCCAACAGAGATTATGTCGGGGGTTTGGCACAATTGGATTAAACTACCAGAGCTGGATAACTTCCACTGGCATTTCAGGAGATTTGCTGTAAGGCAAACCTGTGACATTCATACCTTCCTAAGCTTGCACAACTAGGGCAAGAGCTGCAGTTGAGGTCTTGACCTCAGTTACTTAAGCCCCTTTCTCCCAGGAACGTTCATCACTTTAATCACACAGTCCTAAATAATCAGTGGGTAGCCTGTAATTAGGGGGTTGTGTCTTGGACTCCTGCAGCCTGCTCCCGGTGTGCTGAGCGCTGCGTATTTTGATTTCCCGTTCCCCCAAAGGATGTTTGATCTCAGATTTACACTTCAGAAAATTAAAAAGGGTACAGCACCTCAGTCCCCTGGCAATCTTCCTGCTTTCAGTGGTAGCTGCCTTGCTTTTCCTAAGTATCGCAGTGCTGCAGCGATTGACACACTTGATTTAAGAGTTTGATTTATAGACTGATACTCCGGCTGAAAGTCAGCAGTTCCAGGGCTGCATAAATCAGCCTGTCTCTGGGACTAATACTTCCTTATTTATAATTTCGACAGGAGATGGAATTCTTTCTCGATTCTTTACATTTCTTTCAGATGTAATCGACCACCCTGTCCTTTGGTTTAAAGCTATGTGACTTTGCCACAAATAGAGGGAGGGGAAAGTAAGCCGAGTCCAGGAATTGCTGTGCTATAAAAGCTCCATATTGTATGCTCTTGGACTTTGCTTTCTCCCAGCTTCCTTCAAGCCCACACAAGAGATGGACTTGAGGTTTTTTGGCTTTCTTCCCCTCCCCCCTCCCTCCATACATACGCTGACCTTTTAGAAAAATAAATAAAAGATAAAGAAGGACCTGGAATGTTGCAGAATGTGTGTACATTTTGCTCTCTGTTGTTTTCTGCTGGGATTAGTTGTTTACAATGGGGGAGAGAGGGAGGGCAGAGGAAGGGAGGTCTGTGGCCTTAACTGAAATTAGTGGCATTTCAGAGTGATCTTGTTAGGTGGTCTGCAGTTTAAAGACCTAAATCCTTGTAATCCCCCCATGCCTCCTTGGCCAATACTCCTTTTGCTCTTGTTCTCTCACTTTCAAAAAAAACCCACCCCAAAGTCAGCCTCTCTTGTCTCTCCGATACAGGCACGTAACATACACGCATGCACGCGTGCACAGACACAGACGTACACACACACTCTCTCTCATATGCTTCCATTTGCACGTTGTACCTGTATAACAAATTAATGTCTTAGCTACATCTGTTCCCACTACAGGACTGGGCTTGTAAAATGCTCTCTCCAGAATGCAGACGCACACTGAATATTTTTATTTATTTTCTGAAAAACACCCAGCTGCCAGACTTTCAGTTTGTGATTACACTTAAAACAAATTCAAATTGAAATTTCAGCCATAAATCAAATGCCCCAAATTAGTTCCTCTTGTGGGTTTGAACATGCTTTTTGGATTTTAAGGTCAGAAGATATCCGTTTTCACTGTGCTGAAAAGTTTAAAAATATGCTACATTTTTGGAAAAAAAAATATGGTTTGGATTATAAAGCAGTACATCAAATGTGTGCGTATGCACACACACAACAGTGTCGATGAAGCTGGATGCTGTGGGAGCAACTTTGAGGACTAATAGCACCTAGCTGTTAAGCAAGGCAGGCACTGCAGCGGCTGTTTAAGCCAAGGAGAATAGAGCAGAGTGCTCTGAGATGTGATACTTACCCTGTAAGAGAATAAAAGTTTATTCCTTACTCTTCAACTTAAAAAAATAGTAAAAATTAAATAAACACACAAAATACTTCTCTTGGCAGGCTTTATAACATACTTATTTTTTAAAAAAAGGCATTTACAAGTGGTTTCAAAATGGCTGTGTTACATCTGTCAGCGGGTGAAGGGAACACCCACAAATTGTGTTTTTATCTCTTGAAGTTTTGTTCCACTTGAGCAATAAAAGCTGGATTCGTTGCTGGTTTGTGTGATTGGGGTAATCTGAGCGTTGAGTATGGTTTTAAAACTTCTGCAGTTGGTTGAGTTTGTAAGTTTTAAGAAACTCCTGGGGTGGCGGAGTTCTTGGGTTTTGTTTTACCCTGGCACCGGGGAAGGGTTGGTTTGCAAGCACCTGGCACAGACAAGTTCATCTTGGTTCCCTGGCCTGTCCCTCCCAGCAAATGGTTTGGCAGGAACCCCCCTTATCTTTGATGTTAATGTCATCAGCACTTTCTTGGTTACAATGCTATTCTTTCTCCAGGAGTTGAAAAACTATCCCCAAGTAGGCTCTGAACACACATCCAGTATTTCTCCAGCCTGAACTCCAGACCAACAGCTTAAATCCCCTCTCCGCTGGGGAATATCCTCCTCCGTGAGGATAATGCCAAGAGGTGTAGTGCACTCACAGCTGCTCTCGTGCTCAGAAGAAGTGATAGATGGTGGGAACCTAAAAGGTTGCAAGGGAAAGCTCTCATCTGACTGGCTCGAAGTGTTGAAGGAGGAGGTATTTTGGAGTATGCGTTCTGGATAGGAGCCATTTCAGTGGGAAATGAGCAACCTCTCCCATCGCCTTCACTAGTCCTGTTGAAAGCCAAGTCAGGATGGCAGCGGTGAGCAGTCCTCCCTCCACCGATTCACTCCCGAGCCCGGCTGTGAATGCAGAGTTGCTCTCGCTCTCAGCGACCACTCTTGCGCAAGATGATGGCCTGAGCTGCTGCGCAGGCACACGGAGCTATTGGAAAGGAAGCAGATCGTGACAGTGTGAGAGCAAAGGCAGGCGGGGGTCTGCTGTGTATCTTTGCCGCTTTTTATCTTATTAACGTGTTAGTAAAAACCTTGCCAAGGCAACCTGAGCTGGTTACTTGTAGCATAATTGCTCATATTGCCTCCTTGTAGGTCAGAGGAGGGGGAGTTTAAGCGAGTTAAAAGAATAATTGTTCAGAGGGGACAGTCTGTTCAAGGAGGGTCATAACTGCTAACCACTGCGGCTGAGGTCCAGTTTTATTGCTTTTACTCCTGCAGAATTAAAGCTGGTTTTGTGGGGCAGATGGTTTCTGCTCTGACTCACACAAGCAACGGAATTGTAACAAGTTTAGTGGCAAATTCTGTATACTATATAACAGTGAAGTGTAAGCAGGAAAATACTAGGGATTAATTTTAGGATCGTCAGTCTGGAAGTGAGGATTGATGTTTCTCTCTTCTCCTGAGGACCACAGCAGCTAGCTCTCCATTCAATACAGAATTGAGGCTCAGGGCTTTGACATGATACCAAAACCCCTCTATGCTGTTAGTTCAGACTCCAGGGTAACACCTGTGTCCGCGAGCCAGCCTGATGGTGCGGTGCAGATGTGTTTCACGAGTGCAATGAGTCGTGGTGACGCCTGTGACCAAGCTGGGGAATGGCTGCAGGTCATTCAGCTGTGGAACTCGCCATGCAGAAAGTCACTGAAGCCAAAAACTTCGGACAGAGATCAGCTGTTCAACTGAGGACAGCAAGAATATCCACAGTTGTGGTAGTTAACATTAGCAGAAATACTGGGGAGTAGATATGAAATGCCATGGTTCGCAGTGGGATTAATATGGGGGAGCAGCTTATCTGCATCTCTGGGGTTCTATATCTTGCTTTTACCTTCCTCCCAATCAGGTGGTTTTGATGTGTGTTAGACTTAGTATTTGAGAAACTCAGCAGCTGGATGCCTTCAAATTTTCTGTCCTTTGATGACTTCTGTCTATGTTTGCACATATGAAAATAGGGAAACAAATCATTTGCATGGTAGCTATTTTCTTCTCTGTAGCTTTGAAAGAAATTACATTTAATATCATTTAATGCCATTTAACACTACTCACGATGCTGAGTGAACAGCATTTCAGGACACATCACGGATACTAGTAAAGGTAAAGATTCACAACTTCCATTTTACTGCATAGAGGGGCTCCGACCAATGCAGTAACTCACTCAGTGTCTCTTAGCAGAGGAGTCACAAAGCCAGCACTTGGACTCTGAACTTCTTTCCTACCTGGACAATCAGATCAGCAGATTTGAAAGCTGGTTATCACAGATTCAAACACATTTTGGAAGAAGGTGACTTTTGCTAAAGTTCCATGCTATGTAGCATTTCAGACTTTGTGGTGTCAAAGACTACGTGAGTGTGAAGATGTCCAAGGCAGGTAGAGCAGATCCAGTGTGGTTTTCATTGGTTTAGTACTGCAGAGTGATTGTGTTTGGGTGCTTGAATGTAACATGAACAAAGCCAACCAGCTGAGGTACTGATCTGCCCCTTCTCACCACCCTTTCTTAATGCCTGACAAGCTGAATCGTTTGAAACGTCTCGGCAAAATTCACAGGGAAGGACTGGGCTGCTGCTCCTCTTTTTAACTGGGGAGCTGAGCTGAGAAGCCACCCAGACTGTCTGTGGAAAATATGAGACTTGATCCAGGTCCCAAGTCCCAGGCCAGTGTCCTGTCTATGAAATCCTCTGGCAACATTTGTTCTGTTAAGGAAATGTACAGGAAAGCTAGTCTAACAGGAGGTAAAACTGGAAACCCTTTCTTGCCCATTCTGACAGCTGGCATTTCATTTTTTTCAGCAACTGGGTGTGAGAATCAGGAGAATAATAGTGGAATTTTTGAGAAAAGAGCAGATCTGAACCTACTTACAGGATCATGCCACAGGCTCTTTACATGTTCTGGTAGACACCTTTGGTTTGTATCTGTCATTTTAAATTATTTTCTTGCTTTACTTTGTGCTTATGTTGTAGGTGCTGTCTTCAGGGCAGTGTTATTTGTCATAACGCCGTGATAGAGAAGGGTGCAGACATCAAAGACTGTTTGATTGGAAGCGATCAGAGGCTGGAAACCAAAGGTAAGTAGAGGAGCTGTATTTACAGTGCATTTGTAATCATTTGCAGAATTTCTTCCTCGAGATTTTACTCCTGCTTCTTCATGATGTGCCAGTAAACAGTGGCAGTTCTACTGTGTGGTGTCCTATAATATTAGGATTTGTTTTTCATGGAAAGTACAGCTTCTTGGCTTAAGAATAGCCCAGGGACTCGCTCCTCTGAAGTTGGCAGAAAAGCTCTGTTGTTGTTACAAAGAACAAGATTGGGTGCTGAGACAGTCTTTTCCCAGAGACCACAATTAGATCAGCCTGAAGTTGTCCTCAGCAGAAGGACTAATCTTGGTCAGTGTCAGAGGCGATGCAATCAAATTATTGATCACACGGACATCTTCTCTTTGTAGATGGTATCAACCCACGGTGCCAGTGTACTCCCAGTCACCTTGCTCCAAAGAAAAGCTCGAGGTGGAATATCATACTTGGAGCTCATTTACTAAATACAAAGGCAGCTACGTTCAGACCTGCTTTACTGCTATTAAATGCTATTTTAGGCCTTCGGAGAGGTCACAACTATGTGGCCCTCATTTGGGCAAAGTTAAGCCATCCAGTGGAAGTGTGCGTGGTGAGGGCTCGGTGGTAACCGCCTGAGTGGAGCTGTTGATTTCCTGCCCGAAGAGATAATGGGCAGGAAATGGCTGTCTGGGTGACTGCATCCCAAGCAGAGGGCTTTTTAATGAATATTTATAGTTGGGGTTTGGCAGATCCCTGCTCTAGGGTGTGGACTGAGGACAAAAGTGAGTTCCTCTGCAGGCTCCATGTGAAGTTATTTAGTCAGATCAGGATTTGTTTGCTCACTTTGTCTTTATGGGTGGATTCCCAATTGTAAGTGTCCTGACACCGAGCAGAAGGTTTGCACTTAACATAGTATAGTATAACCTGTTGTCAGCTATGCATATGACAAATTTTCCTTTAAATCAAAATTCAAAGTAAAAAAGACTTGTGAAAACAAAGCATTAATCTTGCAGTTGCAAGTCTTGGATACCGAAGGAAATACCCAGCAAGTGTTCTGTGCGCTGTGGTCTTGGTCCCTGTATACCAGACTCTGTGGCTACTCATGGCTTTGCCCATCATACCAGTCTGAATCAGTGGCCCTTGCGGGTTTCATTGCCCCCCAATCACTGAAGATTTGTACTATTCATGATGCTCCATCTGTGTCCTCCCCTGAGTATAGAATCATAGAATCATGGAATCATTTGGGTTGGAAGGGACCTTTAAGATCATCAAGTCCAACCAGAAACCTAATACTGCCAAGTCCACCATGTCCCCAAGTGCCACATCTACACACCTCCATGAATCTCTAGGAGAGCTGAATCAGGTCGCGTTTGGTTGTTAACCTACAGCGTGAACTATGAGGAGACGGGGTGTAGATTTAGATAATATTTTAGGAAATAAGAATATGTTTGATTTCTTTAATAGAGTATATCAAACAGAAATATCACCCTTTGACCTCGCTCACATCTGCTTCAATAGTCTCTTCCAGGGTGCAGATTCTAGTCTGGTTGGTTTTAGCATGGAAACCATTCTTTCTTGGTTGTCCTTGTCATCCTTGTCTGAATATTTTTCAGGGTTTGTAGATGTATTTGCAGGGAGAGTAACAGAACTGTAACCCATGGTTCATTTGCCCATTCTTGTAGAGTCTACTGCTCACCTCTCCAAATCTTAAACCCACTTCTTAATGAGTCTGTGGGCTCTCCAGTTAAACTCTTCAGAAATGTATGATTGACGTTAGCAAAGACACATTCAGGTAGATTATGAATACACCATTATGCTGAGCAAGAAAAAACAATAAAGCCTCAGTTCATTTCCCTGCCTCAGTTTCCTAACCATTCTGGAATTTCTTTGGGCTGGGGGTCAGGTTCTCCTCGGTGGTCTGGGATCTGTCTGCGAAGTTCATGACTTATTTCCTGAACTGTGGAGTCTTTCCAGCCCAGCATGTCTCTTCTGACCTTGGCTGGTCCCGTAGTAAACGGGGCCCTCTCTTTTTCGCTGTGAAAGCATGCCATGACTTCCTTTCCCCTGCCCAAGACTTCCTGTATCTTGTGCCAAGCTTTTGGTGTGGCCCTGTAAGTCTGTTTCCATATTCCCCCTTTCATCAAGACTTTGGCTGTGTTGTTCTGTTTGGTAACTTTTCCTTCTTCAAACTCGAGCCTCCATGGCCCAGTTAGAAAAAAACTAGTTCTCTTGGGTTGAAGCCACCTTTTGTTGCAAGCTGATCATACTTCAGCAGACGTAAGCGGTAGCAGCTGGCTGCTGACCCTAGTCTGGGAGTTACATGCTAGAAACCTCCTTAGCAAAGCTGCATACACCTTCCCAGAAACATTAAAAAAATAAAAATACAGCAATCCCTTATTCCAAAGCATCAGCCAGGGATTCATCAAAGGTAGAAATACCCCTGAATCATCCTACACAGCCCCAAGCAAATCCCACAGTTGACTTTGCTGCAGAACTGGCTGTGTGCTCCCTGCTCTGCCGTCTGAGTCCTGGCCACACTGCCCAGGCGGCTCGGGGTACAAGAGCTCTTTGAGCCAGTGGTGCACTGACCTCCTTTCATAAAATGAACTCCAGTCGCATGCAAGGAGGATGGCAGGAGAACAGCTACCACAAATGATAGGCAAACGTAACTCAAACCAGCTCTCATCCTTTTCCTTCTGCGGAAGAATATGGGCATATTTAGGGTGGTCCAAATAGTACAGCTGGGAGTAATGGGATTGAATTAAACACAATTTAGGTTGGCTATCTGGAACGTTTTCCTAACGATGTGGTCTGGTAGGCTGTGGGATAATCTCCCTGGGGACATGGTGGGAGACCTCATCACTTAATAATGGGCTTGGCAAAGCTCTGGACACCTAAATAGAGGGAACACTCCAACACTGCTTACTGGGGTAGATCAGATGCAGCCTATTACTTTCAACATGAAAAGAAAGTTAGAGACACGGGGGGGCAGGTAACTGTCAGCAGTGATGTCCCAGTCCTGTGTTGACTTCAGCCCTATCACAGCGCTGGCCAGAGATGGTACTTTTAAGTGCCCCTTAAAGTCAAGGTATGGAGTTTTATTAAAATTCTGGATTTGCAAGCTGTGCCTCCTGAGAGCCATACTATTCTCTTTCTACTACTTTTATTACCATGCTTAGGAAGCATCCACTTTCCTTCCTGTTTGATACTTTAATTTAAGGAATTTGCTAGCAGAGAATTAACAGATGGGCTTTGTGAAAGCTACCTCATGCAGGTAGCAGTCTGAAAAACATGTTGGTACCTAGGAAAAAGAAGGTAATTATTAAAGGGATAGGAAATGGCAGGCAGCAGTTCTGAAAGAACTTAATTGCACAGAGCATTCAATCACTGTTTCGAAGACAGTTATTAGGATCATGCTCCAGCCTTTTTGATGAACTGATTTTTAAAAAGAGCTCAAAACCAGCATGCACTCATTGAAGTTGGGCTAGAGAGAGGAAGTGCTGGTGATGGGCCAGCTGAGGAGTCAGATGAGCCCTAGAGTCAGTGAGTTCGGTTCCCAAAGGGAGTCTCTAGGCTGAATTCAGCAGGGAGTACGTTATATATATGGTATAGCTTAGCCAGGAAGAGACATATACAGTTAAGTGGCCTAACCTTTCTTCAAAGGAACACCAAGAACAGAGATGGTAAAGACACAAACATAGGATAAAACTAGCAAAACTGACACAACTCACCACCATATCCCTCGCCTTCATCTCTGTTGTCGTTGAGGCAGGAATGTTTTATGTGCATTGGTTATTAAGGAGCCAATGTCATTTGGGGACAGCTTGAATCATTGCACACCCAAAAAGTGTGTTACAGCAGTGTCGTTGCCACAAAGCTGTGTTCAGAAAGGGAAAAAAAATACCAGCAGCCAGGATGCTGATGTAATCTTAGCTTGGTATGCTGGTACATGCTTACTAGTAGCAATATCTCTTGTGCCCAGACTGTAGACTAAGATTTCACTGTATTTGTTCCTGTGAAGTTTGTATGCCATCATATATTTTTATTTTCCTTGGTGCCCTGACACAGTCAACACCCAGAATGAGTAGTGCTGGCTGAAGGGGGGGTGGGGTGTCCATATTCCACATTTTCCTGTCTTTTTTCAGTTTGTGCCTGAAATATTAACTATTGTACACTATGCAAGAGACAAGATCCTTCCTTTCTATGGCCTTCCTGCGACATTTGTTATCTTAACACTTCACAACTGTTAACAACCTCATTTGCACCTCCTCAGTATGAACATGGCTGGGTTTTCTTCCTATTTTACAGCGACCTGAGAGTCAGGGAGATTCTGATCATCCGCCCGTTCATTTGGACTGGCCAGCTTAAGTGCTGAAGTTGCGTGTTGCATGTGGCATTTCCTAGCTGTTAGAGACTTGACATTTTAGCCTTAGCATTTGCTTTGTATATGTTGGGAGTGAAGGTTCAGTCCACTGAAAAAAAGCCCCAGTTTTATTATACAGGATGATGTTGGCCCTTGCATGAATCATCAGCAGTGTCAGAAACTTGAACTCCGTTTTACAGCTTTCTGCTGCTTCAGCTGATGGGAACTGATAGTAGTGGGTCATCTTCCTTAAGGGGAGCTGGATCTGCAGTGGGACAAGAGAAATCCTTTGCCAGGAGGTTTCACAGGTGCCCATGGGCATCAGCAGCCCTGAGATCCACTCCTGGTGCTGGGAGGGGGAGGCTGTAGTTACTGTGGGCTTTACTGCTCCTGCTTCCAGCATCAGCCTTTGGGCCCCAACTGTATCACCTGTGTCCTACCTGATCCTGACTCCTGCTTCACAGCTCCCCATTACGGCTTTGTCCCAGGACCAGTCTCATCCCATTCCCAGCCTTCTCTTTGTTTTTTCCTCTAGTCTTTGCCCTGTGGAGATTCTTGTTTTTCTCTCTTACTTGAATATTCCCAGACACCCACCTGACTCCTCTGGTCTGACCATGGCTGCTATTTCCAGTACCCTTGCCTAACAGTCCCA